GTTAATTGTAATGGAGAATACTTATGATATACACTTAGTCTGATACGAATCAGTGATGCATCATGCAATATAGTATGTCCCAACACAGAAATAGGTAATTTTGTTTTCATTATCAATGGTCTGATAATAAGCTGAAGTTATTTGATTAATGACTCTCCCAATCCATTATGTGTATGAACATGTGCAACTGGGTGTTCAACATCAATATCCATTGCTACACAGTAATCATCAAAGGCTTGTGATGTAAATTCTCCAGCATTATCAAGTCTCACTTTCTTGATTGGATAGTCTGAGAACTGTGCCCTTAGTTTAATTATTTGGGTTAATAATCAGCCAAATACCAGATTACACGATGATAAAAGACATGCATGCGACCATCTACTCGAAGCATCAATTAATACCATAAAATATCTAAATGGTCCGCATGGTGGATGAATGGGTCCACAGATATCACCATGAATTCTTTCCAAAATTGACGGTGATTCATGCCCGATTTTAACTTGTGATGGTCTAATTATTAATTTTCCTCTAGAACATGCATCACAAGAAAGCTCATCCGATTAAAAAATCTTCTGGTTTTTTAATGGGTGACCATGAGAGTTTCGATAATTTTTCTCATCATAATGGCATCAGGTGACCCAATCGATCATGTCAAACTTTGAACATATCAGTAAACTTCTGATTTATTATGACATGTGATTCAATCACATTGATATTAGTATAATATAATCCCGAGGATAGAATCGGTAATTTTACAACACATACTTTTGTCCCAAATTGATTGGATTGATATATAAATATTCAGTGTCATCCTCATTCATAGTTTCAATATGATATCCATTTTGTCGGATATCCTTAAAACTCAATAAATTTCTTTGGGACTTGGAGAAAAATAATGCATCTTTTATTAGTAAATTTCGTTCCTCCTAGCATTATGAAATCGGCTCTTCCGGAACCTTCGATTATTTTTGCATTTCCAGATATAGTAGTGATATTTCGTTTGTTTATTCTTAGATTCGAAAAATATTTTGTCTTTCAGTATTGTATGTGTCGTAGCACCATCTGCCAAACATATATCTCCTCCTCGGTCCGCAGATTTGGCAATCATTAAAATATATATATATATATATATATAGCTAAACAACAATAACATGGAGTTGTTCGTACTTAAAGTTTACAGGAATAAAGATGAAATCCTTCCCAAATATGTCCACCTTCCTTGTCCACTTACGGACACGTTGAAAAGCAGCCTTCCCATCAGCTATACTTGATGGATCTTTATGATAGAAATGTACAACAAAATAAATTCATCATAAAATTATTTATACATGAAAATATATATGTAGATAAGATTGATTATATGAAGGATGCAAACATATATAGCTTTTATTCATAATCAGCGCTATCTTCAGGATGAACAAAAGTACCAGCGAAGCCCATTTGTGCCAAGTCTTTGTTACCACTAGCATCGTAATCATAATTATTCATGACGTGATTGGTCTCGATGCATTTTCTTTTTGTTTCTTTAATTGACTTTTAGTAAAGATCCACCAGATGTTTAGCAATGTGGCAAGTACGCGACCAATGTCTTGTCATTCTACACTGGTGGCATGTACTTGCTTTCATCCTCTTGTTTGGATGACCATGTGTTCTCCTTTTATTACTGTTAAAATTATGATTTTGGGACGAGTTTCCTTGACCACCTCCTCTGATCCAACTTCGGCTAGTACCATGACTGCGTCTTCGGTCTCGGCCTCGGCCTGTACCTAAAAAATAACCACGTCCTCAACCATTATAAGGCACAACATTCACTCCAGGAAATGATGTGTTTTCTGTAGCATTTGCTTCAGGGAATGGTGTGTTTTCTATAGCATTCACTTCAGAGAATGGTACAGATCCAGTCGGTCGTGACGGTGGTTTTTTATTAACAGCTCATTATTCTGCTCGGCCAATAAGAGACACGATAAAAGCTCTGAATATTTTGTATGCCCTTTTTCTTGATATTGTTATTGGAGTATAATTTTCGAGGCTTGCATAGTTGAGAAAGTTTTCTCCAACATCTCATTTTCGGTGACTGTTCTCCACATAATTTTAGAATCGAAGTGATTCGGTACATTGCCGAGTTATATTCACTGACAGTCTTGAAATCTTGAAATCGGATGTGCATCCACTCATATTTTGCCTTGGATAGGATCACCATTTTTTTTTATATCAAAACGGTCTTTTAATTTTAACCAAAGATCTGCATGATCTTTGATTTCAAATATTCTTTTTTTCAAATCATCATGAAGATGATGTCGTAGTAATATCAATGCATTTGCTTTATTCTCCTTTGATACATTTTTTTCTTTAATGGTGGTACCAAAGCCTTTTGATTCGAGATACAGCTCAACATCCACTGCCATGATAAATAATTGTTTTCCGATTTTTTGAGGACCTCGAACTCGATATTTATCATTCTTGCCATTATGACTAAACAAAAAAAGTAAATTACACATTAGTTTTATTCATTATCATAGATAATACAACATAGTGAAATACGTGATTACATATAAATTGTTATAACTAGTAACACATATACGAGAGATAAGACCAAAACGCAAATTGAAAACAAAAATGAGTTAGAATTTTCATCGAAGAAAATACTAAACATTGTTGCTAAAATTGGTAGAACAAAGAAAATTTTAATAAAATTCATCTTGCGAGATTTTTTTTTTGTGGAAGAAGAGAGAATGAGATGATTTGGTGTGAGTTATTTGAGTGAATGGATGAATATATTTATAGGGTAAAATTTATTATTCCTACCCGTTGGGGCGGAGCCAAAATTTAATTTTTTTTAAATGTAGTCATTGGATAAAAATAAATTTTGAAAAATTTATAAATGATTTTATTAATTTATATTATAAAACTATACATAAAAAAATAATTTATCAAAACGAATTATTAAATTATTTTGTAAATTAATTGATCATGCTATATATATAATTAATTAATTATTGAGAAATCAAATAATTTATAATTAATCTATCGTTATATGAAAGAATTTATAAAACTCTATTTGTAAATTTTATTACTAATATATTTATTAGATTAAATTTAATTTTTTCGTATAAATAATCATCAATAAATTTATATTATATATGATAATATTTTGTATGGTGAATATTTATTAATTTATATAGATTAGATCACATAACGACATTACCGTCTGCAGAAGTAAAATAATCCAGTATGGATGGACATAATATCCGAAAAACCCGAACCGATCTGTGATCCGATCCGTATACGAATCGAAAATTCGGATATCCGGAGTTTACGGATCGGATACGGATATTTATTTTGAAATATTTATCGAATACGGATCGGATACGGATATCAAATTCGAATTATCCGACATATCCGATCCGATCCGTACTAATTAATATATTATTAAATATAAAAATAATTTGCTATAGAGATATAAAATGTTTTATACTCATATATTTTGTAGGATATTCAAGAAATATTTTATATATATTGAGATTTAAAATGTTTAATATTTTGAATATTAAGATTTATTATGTTTAATTTTTTGAATTTTGAACTTTCAATATATTTGTATATGATAGATTATGATTATATTTGTATTTGAATTGATTTAAAATATAAATTTTAAATTGTGAACAACATTTATATTAAATAACTTATATAATTTATTTATATTTGAAAATTTTATTTAAATTTTTATAATTTTTTATATCGGATACAGATATTCGCAAATATCCGCGGTGTTTACGGATATCCGAAATTATGGATCAGATACGGATAATAAAATCGAGTATTTGTGCGGATCAGATACGGATATCTCAAAAACCACGGATATCTGATCTGTGCTCATCCCTACAATTCAGGCGGCATGGCCGTCCATATATAATAAACACAATAGTCTATTAATAAGTAAAGCGGCATAGCCGTCCAATTTTAATAATTAAGGGGGCATAACAGTCTAAATTAATAATTAAGGCGGCACATCCATCCAATAATAACTAAATAATTAAGGCGGCATAATCGTCCAAATTAATAATTAAGGCGGCACAGCTGTCTAATAACAAATAAATAATTAAGATGGTATAACCATCCAGATTAATAATTAAGGCGGTATAACCGTCCATTGAATAATAAACGAGACGACATAGCCATCCATAAATTAATTATAAATAATATCGTTATTCATATATAGCGTGGAGTTGATTCCACTTAAACATCAATTAATACATGTATATATCATAAGAACGAAAATATTAATATTAAAGATAAGTTATCTTATCCTTTGGTTGTAGAAGAGTCCTCGTGTTGATACCGTGTTATGAAAATGGAAGAAATATGAATGACCCGGACATTAGATCGTTAACTATAAACCGAAAAGTATATTTTTGGAGAATGGAAGCAATGTATCTCTTATTTCTTTTTCTCTTGAAAGTGTATAAATGAAGAAAACCAAATGGTCTATTTATAGAAATTCCGAAGTTATTGTTCACGTGTACGGTCGGTGTAAATAGTAACCGTATATATGAACAATAAATCGATATGAACAGTAATGGTGGACTCCACTATAAATATATTTTATTTATAACACTAAAAAGATTATTATGTTATTCCACATCTGCATCATTGTAACCCACAAAAATATAAATATAAAATCTATTTACAATCCTTTTTCGAAAAAATACATCATATTATTTGACACTTTAAAAAAATCTCTAAAAATTTAAATTATAAAATAAAAAAGAAAATATATTATATTAAATATTTAAAATTAATAATATAATTTTTAAAAAATTTAAACATTTTTTTTGTCGGTACGCACAAATTATTATCTAGTATGTATAAATATTATAGTTTGATACTTATTTGATATTTATATAACGATACTATTCTGAATTGAATCGATACTAAAACCGAACCAAACCATTTAACATTCGTTCTAAACCGAAGCCATAAACTTTTTATAAAACCGAAAATATCATTTTTGAACCAAATCGTCTGAATACTAAACCAAAAGGCGAAACGTCCATCCCTATTTTCTATCACTAAGTCCTTTTTCGTTCCACTTACAAAGGCAAATGCCTCTCTCGTTCTCTGAGTTGCCGCTTTTATATACACAAAACCCAAATAACACAACATTTTTGTTCCCTTTCCTTTTTATCTCCTTCCCCAAAACAAAAGAAAAACCCTAAAAAAGAAGAAGAAAGAAGAGCAAAACGACAATTCAAAGCAAGTAGGAACACTTGTCTCTCATTCATCCTTGATGGCCGGTCCACTGTACATCATCGCCACAACGGTCAAATCCTCTGGCTTCTCCTCCCTTTCCTTCAGCCATGCGTAACCTTCCCTCTCCTCTCCCCCCACCACCTCTATCCCTTCCACTGCATTTCCCCCAAACAAAAACCTTCAGAAGTTCATACCTTTCCAAACAATGCCCTTTGTTTTAGTAGGAATTTGCTGTACCTTTGAAATGGCAGAACGGGTAATCGAAGTAGTAAGTGCAGTGGCGCCCAGCCGGGTCGTTGTACGGAGGGCCGAGAACGTCAAGAACGGCACAGGCCGTCTGTGCTGTGAAGCAATGCATGTTCCCTCCATCTGCTGGGTAGAGGATGGACGAATCACAGGGGGCTACAAAGTCGGAGTTCACTTTCACTTTGGCTAATCGGGTATCCTCGCTAGGATCTGCAGTTTTTTCGAGAATCACGTCTGTCAACTACAATGTCTGTGTAATGAACACATATGTATCGGTGAAGGGATTCAGGGCGAGGATTTACGGGGAGCGTCGATGACCCAATCATAGGACTTGATGTGCATTGTGCCGAAGAGAAGCTTGCTGAAAACCGTCATTCCTGGATGGTTGTGCAGAGGGATGACACCTGAAGGGGGTAAGCAGAAGATTCCCATCTGCAAAACCGGGAAAAGAACCGATATGAACACTCACGAAATTCAGATCAAATGGCGTGATTCTAAAACCTGCGGAGGGTGAAGAAGAGATTGAATACCGAGAACTTTTCGCATTCGTAGATGTGTAGGTAAGTAACTATCGGAGTTCGTCCTCCGGCTTTGGCACGGAAATATGGCATTTGAGGGTTCACCCCAACATCTTCAGGTTTGATCTCATCTACACGAGACCATACCGATATACATCAGCGTTTGCAAACACTATATATATATATATTTGTGTGTGTGTGTGTGTATCTCCACGTACATTGCAACTACATCAGCCAGAAATCTAAGTTCTTGAAAAGGTAAAGCTACCAGCAAAAAAAAGACTGTGAAATTGAGTTTCACATGAACAAGTCAAGAGATTTATAACTTCAGACATACATTAAGGAGAATCTACATGAATGTTCAGGTTCCAAAGTTTCAAACTTTTAAGAGAAGTATCACCCGTTGGCTTCAACCCAGAAACCCCAGATCACAGAGCAAAATCAAATTCAACCCACGTTATATGTTTTGCAATTGAATCTGAGTAGAACATGGCATTACCCAAAACAGCTCGTAGTCGTTCAATGTTCTCCGGTGAGGGGACGATTCCGGGTTCGCCATTGGCGAACACTTCTTTGCAAGTGTTGAACAACCTCTGAACTGGAGAAACCGCCGTCTTCTTGCTCCGCCGTCGAAGCTTCTTACGCGAATTCTTCGGATTCGCCGGAGCGGAAAGGGCGGTTGCGGCGGAGTTGATCACCGGAATCTCCGCATTGGAATTCGGAATCGTTTTCCTCGGAAGCTCCGAGAGTTCCTTCTCTACTCGACCAGCCAGTCCTGTCCCAATCCCCATTCACCTTCAGATTGCGAATTCGCCGAACAAAAACTTCAAAAAACCCTAAATCCCCTGAAAAACTCAGGCTTCATACGATACGGGTGTCGCAGAAAATCGAAGAAAGAACCGAAATTTCGATCTGGGTTCTCGATAACAGGGCACGAGACGAAGAACAACAGTTGTAACTGCTGAAAAACAGTGCGATTAGGGGAGTTCCAAAAGCAGATTGCTGCAGAATACGTAAGCGGACTGACGAATTCTACGTCGGAAACGCCTGAGAAACAATGCGCCGCCGGAAAGGGAGATGAGAAACAGTGTTGGGATTAACGAAAGGGATGAAGATAACGGTGCATATATAAATGGAGGCGGATTTGTCAACTTCGATTCTTTATGGGCAGAGAGAGAGAAACCAGGGGCCATTTTCCGTCTGGGATACTTTCTGTGGGCTGTTTTGTTCCAACAGCGGATTTCTTCAAAAAGGGAAAAAAAAACAAACAACTGTTTCCAGATTTTATGTTTTTGACCCTTTCTTTTAATATTGTTATACATTTGGGAACAAACAAATAGATTGTTCATTCCGAGCCTATTATGAAGGCACTCGAATATTCTTTAAAATTATAATACATGTTTCAATCTAAATACATTAAATTTAAATCACTTGAAAAAAAAAGGAATAATTTTTTGGATCGAGTGGAAATTTCATTGTATATTATTTTAAAAATTAATATTGAATACAAAAGTATTCGATTTGGTGTTAAAAGTTAAAACTATTCAAAAAATGGTCGTGGAGGGCATTGACAATGATGCATAACCAAAGAACAAATGTGAAGTTATTTGGGAGTTTTATTCCGGATATTGAAATTATGAAAACTTCTTCAAAATTGAAAATATATAAAGTCGGATTGTTTTTAAATGGAAAAATTTTCCAAACATGAGATTCCGTTGTGTTATGTTATCTTAGATTAGTGGAAATAATTCGTACTAAATTTCTTGTGATCATATTTATGAAAAAAGTTTAAAATTTGATTGTTTTACAGTTTCTACTTATCATAAAAAAATTATATTTTCAAATATTTTCATATTTGTTCTAAATGAAATTTAATGCGCTTAAAATTCACATGATAAAAAGATTGAGTTAAGATTTTGGATGTAGGATTAAACACGCATTTTCTTTACAATAGTAGCCGTTACAAACGGACTAGAAATTCCACCAACGATCAATTTGGAAGAATTTTAAAAATAGATATGTTTTTATGACACTATCAGAAAATTTAGATATTAATTGGAAAAATACAGTATTGTATATGCATATTTAGCAAAATTTAGTGTTTTGTGTACCAGATTCTCTTATTTTAATATAATTTTTTATGTAATTTAATATAATGGTAATATCGAAAAATAAAAAATAAATAAAAATATTTTATCTTGATATTTTTTTTACCGAAAATCGTTATTGTTATATAAACATTGTTTATAAAAAAATATTTTTAAGGGGAATTCCATATAAATACATCAATATACTAAAAATGCTAAAAATATATATATTATTTTTTTAATTAGTGACATAGTACCTTTTAACGATGCGATGCAATTACATAAATTTTTTGGACAGTATTTATAATTGGAGAATTTTGCAAATTGAGATATTTTTTAAAAGTTGACAAAATTATGTATTTTTTTTTTAAAATTTTTTTAGCAAATTGATAGATTTATCTGGAATTTTCTATCTTTTAATTTTAAAACATAGAATAATTTAAAACTTTAAAAGGTTACCAAATTATTTTTGTTTGAAAACTATAACATTTTGGAAATTAACTTTTTTTGTAAACTACAAATATGTTTAGAAATGATATGTTGAACCGTGTTTTTCTCTATTAGATATAAATTTATATCTACCTACCAATTTAATACTAATTTATAAATTGTTGATTACATAGTATAAAGTAATTATTCAATATTTATGACGCTTTATACTTTATTGGAATATCAAGCATAAAATAATAATTTATTTGATTTCTTTCTCATATAAATATTATATTTTCATGAATTTACAACTTTTTTGTCCACAGAGAAAAGTTTTGGGCTTTTATGTGTAAGTGAATTTAAATGCAGGGTCTAAGCATATAAATAAAATTCAGAAATGAGAAATGGGTTACTTGTTTGTTTCTTCTTCTTCCTTTTTTTTTTCTTTTTAATTTACTTGAATTCATTTATTTGTTTTTTATTTGGATTCTTAATAAATGCACAATTTGGATAAAGTAAAAAGTACATTCAACTTTCGAAGCTGTCTTTCTGCAAATCGTAACGTACAGAAATAATTATTTTAATTAGAACATACAAAATGTCAATTAAGGATGATGGATATTTTCCGTCATAAAATACAAAATTCGTTGGAAATGATAATTTTTTCCGTGTGGATCTATGTTTAGCTTTCTTATATTTTCTATTCATATATATATATATATATATATATATATAATTTAATGGAATTAAATTATATATATTTTAATAGAATTTATTGCTAAGTTGGTTAGATATAATTTTCTAAAATTTAATTAGTAAATTGAATATAGACGTGATTTTAAAAAAATAAATACAAAACAATTCTGAATAACTGAAAAATATAATAGAAATCCGTTATGTTCGCCTGGTAATATTGTATTTCAAATCCACATAACGAATGTGTATGTAGCAAACGGAGATGAAGAAAACAAAAGAAAAATATATTATGTGGAATGAAATATATCTTCCAAAATTTCTTCTTTTTTTTTTATAAAAAATAATATGGGTAAACCCAGACCAGAATCTGAATATTATGTGTTAGATATATTATCTATTTATATATTTTTAATTTTCAAAAAATAGAGTAGAATTATTCTTATATATATTATATTCATAAAAAAACAAAGACTTTCCTCCAAAGAAAATCATAAGGACAAAAATGTTTCGTGGGCTGCATGTAGTTTGTGATAATGAACATTTCTCGACGAAATAATATATGTATGTATGTATGTATGTATGTATGTATGTATGTATGTATGTATGTATGTATGTATGTATGTATGTTTTTAACGTTGCATGTTGTCATGGTTATAGAATACCATATATATGCCATAGATTCTATAGGATATGCTTGCATAAAAATAGTAAAACCCGATAATGATGCAATTGGTGGTCCATTGGCCCATGCTTTCCCATAACGCAGTTTTAAGATTTTATTTGTGTTTTTCCCTTTTTTAATTTTATTAATCTATTTATTATTTTCTTGGAAGGTGTAACGAAGATTCTTTGAGAAAATGAAAAATGTCATATATATATATGAATAAACTGGAAATATTTCTCGGAATTAAAAATAAAATATAATAAAATCATAGTCTAAATTAATTGTCACGGATGTGTAAGTAATATATGGTCAAAAACTATATCCTTGAAATATAAACAAAAATCCAAATAATTGAACCAATAATCTTATTCATATGTTAAAATATATGCGATCGAATGATTAAAACTTTGTAACATTTTCCTCAAAAATTTTGGCTCGATTATTTCCAGGTTTGAGTTTTTTCGATTTTGCAAAAACTATATCTAATCGTTTTGATTCGATTTCTATTCAAATTCCGGTTGTAATAAAATTTTTACTGATAAAAAGGTTTATATATCAAATAAATTCTCGTTTGTTTTTAATTTTCGCTTCGAATTTGAATTTTGACTTTCAAAATCATACAAGTTCAAATTTATATCATTATATATTATTCGAGTTAATTTTATAATCAACCAAGATATATTGGGTCGATTTGAAAATAACAAAAATATTGGGGGTTTAATCTGTAACACCGTCGGCCCATTTTCGTTGGTTACATGACATTTCACTTTAATATATTGGGCCTCAACTACTTCACAAAGCCCATATTGGTTTCCAATCCATGGAAGCCGATCAAGGATGTCGGGTCGACCCGACCCCACATTCGGTCAAAAGTATCGGATTCAAACTGATCCCAATTTTTTCGGTCTATAAAAATCAAATCCGAAGTCTGATCCGGATTTGTTTTTTTTTCCCTTCGTTTGAATCATTTTTTTTTACCATTTTTTTAATTCAGGTTTTTGGACCGATCCAAAATTCGTCGGGCTTAATTGGACCAAGTTGAAAATTTGGCTTGAGTCCAATCCAAAAACCCCATTTTTTCAAATCTATAAATTCAAACCCCAATCTGGTCATTTTTCAGATCAATTTGGACCGACCCACTTTTCTCTAAAAATTTTCAAAAACAAATATTAAATTATTTTTACATAAATACATACATATTCAAAATATTAATGCATTTTCAAACGTAACAAAATGTTAAACCGGCATATTAAAATATTTATATTTTAAAATTAATAATGCTTCATAATAGTTAAAATATTGTATTTCGTAAATAATTATGAAAATTATATATGCTTTGGTTTTAACATTTTAAAAATTATATAAACGTTAAATATTTAATATAATTATATAGAAATAAAATTATGTAATTATTGTTTGATAGTTTCCTGATATAAATAAGAATTTTAAATATATTTATTGGTTTAATAAGCCGGTTCAAACTTGAAACAACTGATTCCCATCTGTTCAAGGGTAGTTTCGTAATACCATGACCGCTGTGCAATTACGAAACAAATCTCTCAATCAAAGTCGTCTGAAGAGCATTTGATCTCTCTCTTCGACTTCTCTCTTCTTCAGATCTCTCCGACAATCTCCGAGGTCTGAAAGCCTCGAAATTTGTCTGAAGGGGAAGGAGAACTGGAGAAGAAGACAATGTTCGGGCTCGAGTCTTTGACCTTCAACATTCATGGTGGATACTTGGAGGCTACCGTGAGGGCCAGTGCGAAACCCTAGACGAAATCAAGATGCATCTCTCTACCTCCAGAACGGTGAGTTTTCCTCGTACTATCGCTCTGTCAATGATTAGGGGTTTGATCTCGTTTTATCGTTCCCGGGTTCTGGGTTTTAGGATTTCGAGATGGTCAGAAACCCCTATTTTGGATTATGTGGATTTAAGCCCCGCTGTTGGTTTCGTTCGAGTAACTCTTCTGTAGTTTCCATTGGCAATAACACTTTCATCATTCTCTGCTTTTTCTTGGTTGAGGGTAAAAGCCCTCCATGACGAATCTACCATATTTATTAATTTGGTTCCAATACCCATAAACTCTTTTTAATTTTACATTATTTATTTACTTATTACGAACCTTTTCATTTATTTTTTTATTCGGTTCGAAAAACTTGGCAAATGGCATTTCTAGTCACACCAATTTTTTATATACCTCATGATATGGATGGACACGGATCGGATATCTGACATTTTTTAGATATTAGGTTTCAACACGTGCACATCGCGCAGACTGCAATTACGTATAATTTTAAAAAATATATTAGTTTTAAAATTAAA